CACGAGGTATTTATATAGGCGAGGTAGGTCAGCCGTTATTGAAACACAATAGAAAAGGCTTTGGCTTCATATGGTGACTTTACTAGTGGACCTCTTGTGAGTCCGCACGGGTAGGTACCACCGCCCTGCCTATTTCTGCCGTGAAGCAGTAATGCGTTTCGGTTTGAAGGGTGAGGCAACTATACTGAGACCTTACAACTTATATCTCAAGGTGGGTGGCGCATTTACGTTGTAGTTGTCTATGGACTCCAGTAACCACTTAACATCAGGTGGGCTGTGAGCTCGTCCACCCATCTAAGCAATAAAAAAAAATTAAAAAAAATATGTCAAAGTTGACCTTGACTTCACCAAATGGGCCAAAAAATCAGAAAAAACGCAAACAATTTTCCGAGAACAATGAAATTATGTTTTGATATGAGAGCATCGCCGGAATCTGACGTGATATGATTTGCGGTCATCAAGATTAATTTGTTCGTGTAGCACGATTATCTCAGTCATGGTAGGTAAACTTTTTAATCCGTTTTTATTACCTTATGTATGTATGTATCATTTTGTATTTTATTTTACTGCTAAGACAGGTGGACCAGCTTAAGGCCCGAAGGCCAGGCCAATTGCGCTGTTAAACGAATTAAAGGAATTTCTGTCCGAAATCCAGGATGCTGACGTGTTTGCCGATACTTTTGTCTAAAATAAAGTTATTTTTAGGATAATAATAGTACTTAATAATTTTAATAATGTTTTTTTTTTGTGTTAACGGGTTAGGCGTTTTGGTGCAAACTGTAAGCCTGACTTTGTATTGAATGGAATAAATAAATAAATAAACTGAAGAATAGACCGCCGTCCACCATTTTTTACAACTTCGTGGGTTATGTTCTTACGCGTAGCTTCTGTTTGCGCACGTTTAAGAACAATATAGGTTACCATAACCATATATTAGAGCACACGAGAGGCGCGGAGATTAGCTTTTAAAATCTTAAACAGAAATTTTGGTCGCCGTGGCCGAAATCGGCTTGGAACCATAGATGGATGGATGGTTAATTGGTCACTGACGACTATTGTCCGATTACGCTCATCTGAATCTTCAGGATTAATGCTGAAAGCACCATATCGTTTTGTGCCAAGAATTATGTGCGTAGCGTGTACACGCCTGTTGCCGTCCTTGGATATGATAGCCGTTTCTCTAGCTGTTTTTCTGAAACTAAACCTTAATTCCCCTCTAAAACTCCCGCAGTCCCAGTACCTATCGTTGGATAGAAGAACTTGATTATGCTCTACTTTTTAGTGCAGCTAGCAAAACAGTATTATGTTGTTAAACAATAGTTTACTATTATTTTTGCTATTTACTTAAATATGTATGTGTACATTTATGCGAATTGAAAATCTGATTCGGTTAAGAAAAATGTTTTTTTTTTTAAGTTACAATTAAATAATGAAAATGAAGTTTGAAAACTTGAGGTTTCGGAAATCCAAATCGCTGAACACTTCCTTCGTTCGTTCAATCAACAATATTATATATTATATATAGAAGGAAGAACACTTAAAAGTTTAAGAATAACGAATTATTTGTCGAAATATTTTAACCAATCTAATAATGAAGGTAAAAAAAAAACAAATTACCACATATTATTTTTACAGATCTATTGATCTGCATAAAAATATATATATCTATACTAGCCTTTGCCTGCGACTTCGTCCGCGTAGAATCGTTACTTTGGCATAACGCTAAATTTTACCCGCCTCTTTATTTACGTAGAAAGTGAAAATATTTATGTATAATAGAATGTTAAAGAGTTATTTAAGGTACCAAAATCACGCTTTTTAACTGACTTCAAAAGAGACTCTCATACATTAGACAGATACAGATACAGAGAAGACTCTCAGACATTACTTTAGTGAAACTTTAACTGTTTCCGCAGCGCACGCAGTGGAAGCTCTCAAAAAAGGATTAAAACCCCGATTTTGAAACATTCTTAATTTGGTGCTCCGCTTGCATTGGTCTTAGCGTGATGTTATATAGCCTTCCTCGATAAATGGGCTATCTATCACTGAAAGAATTTTTCAAATCGGACCAGTAGTTCGTGAGATTAGCGCGTTCAAACAAACAAACTCTTCAGCTTTATAATATTAGTATAGATACATATATGTATTTAAATTTTGTGGATAAAACAAAATTCAGATCGGTTTTGAGGCCGAGTTTAGTATTCGAATATTTTTATGACATTAAATGAGCTCTCGGGCTTACGAGCGGGATGGTGTTAAGTGTTTACGAGCCAATAGACCTTAAATCGTAATTTCAGCCACTCTCATTGAGTGAGACAAAAGTCGAATTTTAAATTATTTTGTTTGTATTGTAAAGCAAAAAGTGTGACAGTTTCGTTGCAGACAATAGCCGTGGTTTTAGTATTATTTTTTTGTCTTGTACATGGGTATCCGGTACCCACAACTATAAAAAATATTTTCTTAAGATCGTGGAATGAGAGATGTTTAACTTTAATTACCTATTAAAATATTTTTGCAATTCAAATACATATACGTATGTATAGAATTCGCTTCAAGAATTAAAAAAGTTTCTAACAGCTAAGAAAAACTTCTAAATAACAATAAAACTAATATTATGTAAGCTAATAGAGGAATGATAAAACAAACGGCATTCGACGAGAAATAAGTGATAATTCCCGTAAGTTCCCGTATATCAATAATCAATAAAACCGTATTAATAATTCCCGTAAATTTCGCTTCTCACCATCTCCCTGTCTCTAGACAGAATAATAATGAAAAAGGTGATTTTTAAATTGATAAATACAATAGATTTCCAAAAACAGAGATATTCATTGTTTTGACGAAAAATCTCACAGCCCGAAATCGAGTCCTGATCGTGCTCTAAGCCTATAAGCAAATAATCTATACTTAATATTATAAAGAGGAAAGATTTGTTTGTCTGTATTGAATAGGCTCCGAAACTACTGAACCGGTTTAAAAATTTCTTTCACTGTTGAAAAGCTATGCTATCCCCGGGTGACATAGGCTAGATTTATTACATTTTCAAAAAAAATAGGGATTCTTACTGAAACTCCAATAATGTAACCCAATGTGTAAAAAAAATACCTAAAATTCTTTACATCGCGTGCGCTACTTCCTAAGCGAGGCCGGGGCGGACCGCTAGTAAAGAATAAATACAATTAAACCTGATAAAAAAAAAAAGAAATCACCTTGTCGATTTTCATATTCAATAAAATTAAATATATTAATGTTACGTAACAAAATAATATCACTAGTGATTGATATTAAGACACGTTCGACCTTCTCATAGCATTTGTGTATCGTATATCAATGTGCCATGACACGAGATGCTCCCTGCGTTGCATTTATAAGATAAAATGATTACGCGCACGCTATTTGTCTTAGTTTACCTCGTCGCTGATTTTGAACGTGTTTTTAAACCAATGTATTCAATAATTTAATTTAATGTGATTGCTGTTTAACATCTCACAATGGGCCATCAGAGTAGAGTGCATTCTTACTAACTGGAACCACTGCGTTCATCCATAGTGCCCTTCGAGGAAAGGATGGTTAATTGGTCACTGGGGAGTATGTTCCGATCCCCGATCCATTAACAGTGCTTCTAGGTACCACAAGCACCGGTCACCGTCCTCGTCGCATGCGACGGGTTCGACGAAGGGCTCGACGAGCGAATTAACCCATAGACACAGCCCACTGAGTTTCTCGCCGGATCTTCTCAGTGGATCGCGTTTCCGATCCGGTGGTAGATTCTGCGAAGCACTGCTCTTGCTAGGGCTAGTGTTAGCAACACCTCCGGTTTGAGTCCCGAGAGCTCGCCTACACGCTAGGGTATCACTGATATAGCCTCTCAAGGCTGTCAGCATATTTAGGAAAAAAAATCAATATTCAAACATACATTCAATAATAACCATAGTAGGTAATAATCAAACATTTAATAATAACCATAGTAGGTATAATTATTTTGTTATTTAAACTGTTTCTGCGCATCGAGTTAGAATAAACATTATTTAAATGCATACGCGTCATTCCTATCGATAACATCAATTAAACGGGACCAGTTTGAACTCACGGCTCATTAACTTAGATCTTATATCTAATAAAACTCATCATCATTAAAAAAAGAAAAAAAAACCGAAACCATTGTTTACAAATTTTGATACAACTATTGTATAGTTATATTATTCAATAGTCAATTTGAATTTAATGAAATTATTATCCTACAAAACGCTTCATTTACATTTATAAAATTTTTAATGATGTCTTGAACAATCAATTAGGGCTTAATTGGTCGTTTACAAAACTGTTGTATTTTTCGACTGTTATAATTATACGACAGTACAACGGCTACCCTACCCTTCAAACTGAACCGCATTATTGCTTCACGGCAGAAATAGGCAGAGTGGTGGTACCTACCCGTGCGGACTCACAACACGTCCTAGCTCCAATAATTACTCAAATTATAACTTTGGGTGTTTGATTTTTATTACATGACGTTACCCTTTCACCTTGAAAGTCAATCGTGAACATTTGTTAGGTACGTATTTCATTAGAAAAATTGGTACTTTCCTTCGAGATTCGAACACCGGTGCATCGCAAGATACGACGTCTTATCCTTTAGGCCACGACGACTTCAAATAATTTAAAGTTATCAGATTTATGAAATATTATGAAACTAAAATTACACCTCTTAATGCTTAGCTTAGTAAATGAATATTACTTTCTGTTTATGTTAGATTATTAGTTTATTCCTGTTTCGTCTTCGCGACTTACTTTACTCCTATGATGCACAATGAAGCCCTTGCCCAGACTGACATTGCCCCCGGATGCTTACAAACATCTACCTTCAAGAGAACATCAAACAAAACCAACATACGCTACGTAGAATAAGACTCAAAATCGTATAACAAAAGTGATGATTTTAAATTGTAAGCATTCCTGATAAGCGAGAGAAAACCATTTATTAGTCTGCAAGGATCCAACTTTAAACATATTTAGTTGGTCTATCGAAGAGGCTGCCCGTGTGTGTCACTAGTTCTTTATATTCAATATTAGTCATCGTGAATTTTTATAGTACACAACTAATTTGGAAGGTACATGCTTGTGTGAATTAAATATGAGGAATATATTAATGGTTTGTGCCATTTGTATGGTGTTGGCTGTTGGAAACGGTGAGTTTTGTATGATAATCGTTTTGTTGATATGAGGTATGGTTTTAAACTGCTTTTTGGGATAATTCGATTTATCCGATGTCATTATGAGCCCATAATCGAATAGAATAGAAAAACAACTCCATTGTCATAGATCAGTGTTTATGTCGAGATTGCATTAGAGTATCGTAGTTAAGATAATAATATTTATATGATTATTTTTGTTTTGTATTTTGTTCCATTATAATGTGATGGAGACATTTAATTCAGCTTAATAGAAAGATTTAGTTTTTAACTTATATTTAGACTCCTCAGTAGTTTTTTAATCAAAGTTTGAATTGTTTTTTTGATGCGTTAAATTTTAATAGGATCACATACATGAAATCATTTTGAAATCATTTTGGTGCTATACCAGATATCAACACTAAACAAACTACAGAACATTTGTATTTAGAATATGGTGGTTAAGAAAACATAATTAATATTATACTACGGGTAGTAACGAAAAGTGAGAGAACAAAATTATCTATAAATCTTAATTGTGTACTTGAACTAGCTACCGTAAAAACTTAATTAAAGGCATATTATGCTCGTGTAGATTTGCTCAAAACAATCCCGAAAATTATAATGAAGACACGCTAAATGAAAATAAATTAGAATTGTAACATCATGCGGAGGCTGTAATCAAATGAATTCCAATTTTAAATGGGCGTGATCAAAATAACAACTGAATAACGAATTAAAATAAAGCCCGTCGAAGATCTTTTAATTTTAGAACGCAACGTAATCATCGTATTCGTAAATACGGAGTACCTTTTTTTTTTTTATTGCTTAGGTGGGTGGACGAGCTCACAGCCCACCTGGTGTTAAGTGGTTACTGGAACCCATAGACATCTACAACGTAAATGCGCCACCCACCTTGAGATATAAGTTCTAAGGTCTCAGTATAGTTACAACGGCTACCCCACCCTTCGAACCGAAACGCATTACTGCTTCACGGCGGAAATAGGCGGGGTGGTGGTACCTACCCGTGCGGACTCTCACGAGGTCCTACCACCAGTGAACATAATAATAATAAATTCTTCACGGCTGACTTCCACCATGAAGGCAAAACGCCGTTTAATAAAACCGTATACCGTATATATATCACTACATAGTATAAAACAAAGTCGCTTTCTCTGTCCCTATATCCCTATATATGCTTAAATCTTTAAAACTACGCAACGGATTTTGATGCGGTTTCTTTTAATAGATAGAGTGATTAAAGGGGAAGGCTTATATGTACAATACCATCCATTAAATAGTGGAGAAATCAATAATAAATTACAGTTTCCGAAGCGAAGCGAGGGCGGGTCGCTAGTTTGTGTATATTCCGGATTGAAGGGTTAGACTGCTGTTATAAAATACAATTAAAATTTCGAGCTTATATTCGAAGTTCCGGTAACATCGGGTGGAAAATAAAAAATTTAAAGCTAATTTAGCTTTAAATTTTTTATTAAAAACAATGTAGATATTATTATGTTCAAAACGATATTATGCAATTTGAAGTTATGCGAATCGCATTCACGGATACTCTCTGCAGCTCGGTGTCAGGTTTGTCTATAATCTGCGCCAATGTTGAGGGCAAAGGTCACATCTAACAATAGATTGCTAAACAGAAATATATATTTTTTAAGAAATATATGCATTTACTAGATAGTATCTTATTCCTTTTTCGCGAGTAGTGAATATAATTAAAATAAAATTTACGGTACGTCAGATTAAACGGTAAGAACAGTTTTAAGTATAATTCTAGAACATAATTTAAAAAATGTAGGTCTTTTAAGTAAGCCGTCAGCATATGTGCACATCAGCAATATTACAAATTAAATACGCACTGAACTAGCGCAGTGACCCGTAGTGGGTGACCTCCAACAGCAGAAAACGACACCGACACCTAGTTTTAAAATACTCATACAACATTCCCTAAATATGTACCACCAGTAATAATTTTAAGTATAAAATAAGCGGATTTGATAGCGAATCGCGGAGCTGATTTTTATTTATCATATCTGCTTCCAGAGCATCGACGTACACTAAAGTGCACAGAGACGTTTTGAAGCACCGTTATAATAAGCTTACGTCACAATTTGTCATAAAAATGTATCCGTCTTCATAATGGAGAGTATCTATAAAACTGGGTCACGATCGTTGACACGACGCAGATAAGTGACCGTGCACTTGACTCTTAGTTGCTGGTGCGGGTCATGGTGTATACCCACTTGTGTCATATAGTGCACATTCAATTTAAAAGTATCCTATATTTTGCTTTAGATGTCAGCAATTTCAATGTTGACGTCCACAACCAACACGTTGCCTACCGCTGAGAGTTCCTTTGAGAGTGTTGGAAGAAGAACATCACAGGGCTTAGGAAATTTCGTTTCAAGAGTTAAATACAACAATTGAACTAAATATTGGGATAACTCAAAAGTACATTCAGACAGTACATTAAACATAAATTCTCAAATAATAAATGTAGTCAGCCTACCCTCAAATTTAGATATTTTAAAATTGCTATTTAATTGCCAAAATCCCGAGTTCATTCAACTCTCACGAATCAAGAAGTCATTAGAATAACAATTGCAATAGATTATAGATGTTTTGTTAGAGATTACTCATGGGAACTGATTTAATAATTCATTGTTGAGCCATTGTCGGTGCTCAAATAATATATTAAGACCAATTTCATCGTCCTCATTAAGCAAGCAATTTTACGATTTAAATCACGTGTTTATTTCATTGATTTAAAATTTCAACGCCATTTAACGCACACATTAAGTTCCATATACATTCATAAAAAAGTCTATCAATCTTATAATAATTAATTCATAACTTATAATAATTAATTCATAAATAATTCAGTGAATCTTATAATGTCTGTATATAGGTTATCTTTTTATTTATTTATTGCTGAGATGGAAGCCTTAGACAACTACAACTTAAATGCGCCACCCACCTTGAGATATGAGTTCTAAGGTCTCAGTATAGTTCCAACGGCTGCCCCGCCCTTCGAACCGAAACGAATTACTGCTTCACGGCAGAAATAGGCAGGGTGGTGATACCTACCCGTGCGGACTCACAAGAGGTCCTACCACCAGTAACTTATATCTTATATTATATCTTAAATTATGATTCCTAGTTCGCTTGCTCGTAGTATGTCGGTAGCTTTTATAAATCGTAGGTCACATGTTACACTAAAATGCTCCTTGACACATGAGGTCGATGTTATAGTTTTGAGTAACGACCATCTGGAACACAAACTGGAACGCATCGAGGCAATACGAAGCCTACACGTACATAGTCACAACATAAAACTATTAGAAATTAAACTTTCGAACAAGCCTTTGCTTTTAGATGAAAACTAAAAGAAACACACCCACTCGTTTAACGGCCAATAGCTTAATTACCATATCAAGAATGTATTAGACACGCGCCTTATTAGGATAGAACAATTTTATTACTCCATCCCAATTTTAAATTTAATTAATAAATATAAAGAAAATAATAAAAACAACAATGAAAAGCTCTTCGATATTTAACGTTTGTTTTAAAAATTCGTATAACCATTAAAACGGATTAAAAATTATAAGCGCGTTTGATTATTATAAACGAGTCATTGAATATTTGTGCATCACGTCATTGTAATTCCTGTGGAACCAGGATCCACAACTTCTATAACACGAAAGCGGATTTGTCTTGGATACCGCGACAAACAGAAGACAATTGGAGACACACTAACTTAGATTGTAGCTTAAAAGACACTTAGCCAGAAAGTGAGAAGAGATCACTATAAGAATATACAAGAATATACAAGATTTACTGTATCCACGCTGCGAGCAGCCCCCCCTTCATGTCATCCTGCACCCATATCACCCCTGCCCTGTGTGGCAGGAAGATTCTGCCCGGGCAGTGGGGTTCGCCCCGAGGCCCGATCCGTGCCCCCGTAAGGGGGTACGACGACCCCTCTGGTTTTACTGTATTGGAAAAACTGAGAGTTCTGTCTCGTGGTGGAATTTACGTTGTTGGAGCCTATGGACACCAATAACCACTTAACACCAGGTGAGCTGTGAGCCTGTGTGAGTGCTACTGCATTCAGAATGCAGTCAGCATAGTCTGCGGTAAACGCTAAACATCAGGCGAATGTGATCGAGAGCTCGTCTACCAATTTAGCCAACACAAGAAATGAATTAAGTCCATAAGTGGCACATGATAAAAAGTTTATTAATCCCATTGAAATAAAGTGGAAATTTTCTCGAAACAAGAATATAAATTGGTTTCTTAGTTGTTGTAAAACAAGTTTACTTTCTACAAGTTTCTATCATAAAAGAAGAGACATAGATGATAATGTTATAATTTATTAACCTATAGCTCAGTACAATAAAGACGGATATATTTTGTATACAATTAATTGTTTAGTCAAATAAATAACGTAGGTACGTTTTATTGATTGACATTCAACAATAATGAATTACGTTATGCTTATTCAATTTATACTATGTTATTTTTATTAACGAAATATCAATGAATATTCACAACAGTCGATAATTGAATTCCCTGAATTTGTCACACTATTAAATTATTATAATACTATACATAAATTAATTAATTAATTAATGCTATTTAATTAAATAATATCTGCACATACGTGTCATATACGTATGTACAGATATTTTATAAATATGTTGAATTGATTTGGAGATTTTACATTTCTTTTAATTGTAATTGTGATACTCTGATTGATATATTTAATACATCAATTGATACTCTTTTTTAAATGAACAAGGCCTTTGTTTCCATTAACTCCGTCACGCATTCGCATTAATCAGTAATTTCTCGTCCATTTTAAAATAATACTTTTGCGTGTCTCTATTGTAGCAAGAAGTTCTAAAATCTATGGTCCTTCGTGTTTATTATATGTTGTTACAAATAATAAATGTACACAGTTCGATATGTACTTGTAGGGTAAGTACTTTATGAACAGA